TTACTTCTTACAATTGCCTCTTTTTGTATTTATGCCTCTCTCCTCTCCTCTATATTCCAACTTTAATAATTGTTTTTATTTCTGTTCTCCTTGATGGGACCATAAGTTTAATTTCATTTGCCTGGACTGCTTCTCCAGCCAAACTATTTGCTTTTTCATTGCACTTGATTCCTTTACCAGCTGATCTTATTTTTCTTTGTTGTTGTTTTATGCTATAAATAAAATAACTAACTTCATCTAAAAGATCTTGACGAGTTGCTGATTTTCCACTTTGAAAACTAGCTAAGCAAGACACTGACTTTGAGCAAATAATTCATTTACTGGGTCCTTTGCCTACAGGAACAACAAAAATGAAGCTTAATCGCAGCGCTTTACGACATAGAAAACAGTTTACGACGAAATGTGAAGACACAATTGCGCTTTACGACAGGCATGTTTCAGTTGGTAGCTTGTTAGCTGGAAAGCTAGTCGTGTAGGATTTCAAATTTAAACACGGTTATATTACGGTACAGGGACGCAACCAGGGAACAATGGATGTTGGAGAACTCCTGAACTATCAGGTATTCACTCTTGTCTTTTATAGCGAATGAATTTTTGTTTAGTGACCGTATCCACTTGAACTGTTTGCAGGTAACAGCTTTGCAGTAACAAACCAGAGAGCAGACTGCTATTTAGAACCGTTATTTACGTCCATTTCTTTTTATATCATCTGTAAATGTCTAATATTAAAAGCCAAATCGGCCATGCATTATTTTAATCGTTCCTAATCAAAATAAACGTTACAGTCAGCTTATTAGCTTGAAGTATTTGCTATAATAAAGAGGTTAAAAAAAAAGTAGAGGTTTTCGCTCATTGTAACTTCAGACAACTTAATTAGATCTACCTGGTTCTATTTATCACGTCATGTTTTTTCTTTCTTTCTGTAATGTCGACAAATATTTGCACTTCATAATTGTATGAAGTGTTGACCCACTCCTAATATTTTAGACTCTTTCTTTCAACTTTTTGGAGTAGTCTATACAGACTTCTTTCAGAGTGAATTTCAAAGCATACCCAGGCTGTTTCACGGTGTTTCTCCCTTCGCTTCGAGTTTTTATATGTGACTGATAAATGTCAGAACACAAAGCTGAAGACGAAGCTGAAGTTGGTTTCCATTTCTGAAGGGAGATTACACCTAATTTTTCACAACCTACCGCATTTTTAATTGACTCTAGTTTAAAAAGTACTACACCTAGACACTTAAAACCGGGATTAGATTATTCTCCTCTTCAAGCTGGATATTTAAAACCATGTTTGGGATTTGTGAAACCTTTTTCTGATTGTGAAACTTCGCTTAAAAGAACCCTGCAAAAGATCTTTCCTTCCAACAGCCATCACCATGTACAATAACTCTTTGAAGAATTAGTGAGTTACACCAACATTTAATTTCCCATTAGGATTAATAAAGTGGTTTTGAATTAGAATTGAATTTGAAAAAAGCTGAATGGAACAAGTATTAATAGTAATCTGATCTTTAGTGAAGTTTCACAAATCACATAAAGGTTTCACAAATCCCAAACATGGATTAAAATATTCTGCTATTACAGCAGAATAATATAGTCCAGGTTGGAAATGTCTAGGTGTTGTAGTTTTTTAATTAGAGCAGTTTTAGTGTGATCCAGATGCAAAAAAATGGTGAAAATCGAACTTTGAGATTTCACAAATCAGAAAAAGATTTCACAAATCACAAATATGGTTTTAAATATCCAGCTTGACGAGCAGAATAATCTAGTCCAGGTTTGAAGTGTGTAGGTGTTGTAGTTTTTAAACTAGAGTCAATTAAAGATGTGGAAGGTAGTGAAAAATTGGGTGGAATCGTCCTTTAGCTATTGGAAGCTAGAATCGGAAACCAACTTCAGCTTCGTAAGCTGAAGTTGGTTTCCGATTTGGGAAATGGCTAAAGGGTGATTCCACCTAATTTTCACAACCTTCTTCATCTTTACTCTAGTTAAAAAACTACAACATGTAGACTCTTCATACCTGGACTATGCAAATATTCTGCTCTAATAGCAGAATATTTAAAACCATGTTTGGGATTTGTGAAACTTTTTTCTCATTTGTGAATCGTCAATTAAGGGCCATTTTTGCCCTTTTTTTAAAAAAAAAAAAAAATTCGGTTACACTAGAATTGCTCTAATTTCATAACTACAAGTAGTGGAATATGCCTGACAACTCATATCTCATTTGACAGCAGATTTTCTGTCATTTGCAGTGTAAACAAGATGGAAAAAGACATTGGGTTTTAATATAGGCCCAGTCTTACTTCTAGTGCCAATATGTAGAATAACCAACATTGGCCGACTTGCGGATATATTTTGGATCCCTAGTGAAAATACTTTAGTAGCAAGAGAAACTGTGTTGCAAAATGGTTGGCTTACAGGTATAAGATGGAAGTAGACTGAGAGAAAAAGTCAATCTGTTGTGTAAATAAAACTGTAGTTTTCTCTCATAGTACTGTTTTGTGACGAGCTGCTATTTCCTGCAGCTGTGAGTGTTCATAATGGTTTCTGATTAGTTATCTACATATGGTCCAGTTTTTATGTTGAGTGGGTTTTAAGAGGCATTATTTATTATGAAAAACTTGAAGACAATATGCCAAACACTACAATCTGACAGAGAATATCTGGGGGGAGATAAACATTAGGGTGATGGCCTGGCCTTGGCCTGTCGTAATAGGCAATATTTCAGTCATTCAGTTAATTGCTAGATGAATTAAAACAAACTCAATAATTTTGATTGGCCTGAATTATTGTTTTTGTCTTCTCCTCTTTAACTAACAATTGGATGACAGAAAGTCTTCAATCGGGTACTTTGGTCTTAACTATCCACTTTTTTTTTGAAAGCCGATTTTGTTTATAGAAAATTTGTTTATTATTTATATTATTTAAATAATGATGATTATTATCTTACTTTTTGTTGTTAATTTATTTTAGATATTTAAAATATTTTCCAGTTCCAGTGTTAAACGTTCATTAGAATTTTAAGTTTATGGATCTTTCAGAATGTGTTCTTGCATCACTGTGCCATTATGTTACTAGAAAATGGCCTCAAAACAACATTATTGTTTATCGGAATAATTTCAGGAAAAATTTATCTTGCAGCAAGAAGTGCTATCGGATCAGGCCTACTTGGAGCTCATCGTAAAAGTTAGATGGACAAAAATACCAGTGGAGACATGCGAAAGACTTGTCTGCAATCAGAAGTGTTTGGTTGCCAATAATGGGATTCCAGTCAGAAAGAAACCTCTTAGTAGTATAAAATAATAAATGTAAATTTAAATGTTGTTCTCCTTCAGCCTGACAGAGGAGCCAAGCGCCCAAGGGGAGAGGATGGAGGAGCTGCAGGAGGAGATGACAACTCCAGAGGAGGGAAGCAGCAGAAAGGTGTGGGACCGAGGGAGGCAGCCAGGTTCAGGGAGGTGGGAGGAGGAGGAGAAGGAGGAGCTGAAATGAAAGAAACCGAAGAGCCGACTGGAGACAGGAAGATGATCTTAGAGAAACTGATGGACCAGGATGGGGAAGAACCAGAGGTGAGCAAAATTACTATTTCAGTATTACAAATATTACTATTATTTGACAAAATTCATATGTAAAGCAAAGTGAAGCAACACATCTGTTGCAGTATGCATTTAATGCACCCAACATAAAAAATAAATTTTGTCATCATCAAACCTGTTGGAGTTAAGAAATGAATTTCTGATTAATAGGCGATTGATTGGTGCATCATTAGTTTGAAATGGTCTCAAACTTCTGGCATTTTCTTGTTTTTCATTTTCTGCTTTTCTCCATCACACCAAACACAGATATTGTGTGATTATAATAATTGTCCTGGTGAAACACAATAACTACTTATGATTAAGTACTTGTATGGCATAAACTGTGTAATTTTGAATGACTCTACTTTCTCAAGTCATTTCTCCAGCAGGCCTGTCACGATAACATTTGTGTCTTGCTGGATGATAAATTGTCCCAGTAATTATTGTGATAAGCTAATATTGATTTAAGACCATTTTCTAGTAACATATTGATTATTGCATAATAATGCCAGTTTATGCTTTTTAAAAGATCAATGAATTGTAATTTTGTAAGCAGCACTTAGCACTGGAACTGGAAGATATTTTAAATATCCAAAATAAAACATGACAACCAAAAAAAATACATTTAACATAAATAAAAACCATACCACACTGAAACCATAAATAAAATGGATTATGAGGGCTCTGTAAAAAAAATGTTCCCCTTCAAAAAATATTAATCATCAGAATGGATATGATTGAACTCATTTTAATTGATCATGTGATTAAATGATTCTTGGGAGGCTTACTCTTCATTCTTACTCTGGTCCTATTCTTGAGGTTAATCAATACTGCACACCTAAGCCTTTTAAAAGGTCAAAACATTTCATTTTCAGGTGTGTTTTTTTTTTCTGCTAACCACTTTCACTGTTTGGGCAGAAAGTGAGATTTTTTGCTAATATTCATAGCGTTATTCAAGTCCTAACCTCTAATTTCACACCAGTTCTTTGCACATATCCTGAAACTATTCCCTGATGGTGGAGATGATATGAAGGAAAATGACTTCAGGTTCAAATACATTCTGCTGGGGGTTTTCGCTTGTAAGTTTAACGATTAAATGTTTACTGGGGAATTTTAAATCTAAAAGTCGGTTCCTGTGTTCTTTAATCTTCCTGGGTCAGCAGAAACTCAAATTGAGTCCATAACATTCTCCAGGCGGGTAAGTTAAAGTCAACACAATATTTAAATGATTCCTATTAAATAAATCAATAGTAGACATTAAATAATCATTTGATCTGGTTTATTTGATAATAAATAATTTTTCTTACTTCTCAGTAAGACAAATTACTGAGACAAAGTACTTTAGAAAATCAACTGTTGGTTTCATTCAGTTCACCAGATAATAAAGACAATAAAGATGTTTCTGTCATTTGATTGACTTTGTGTGAAATTGCTTTTCTTCTTTTAAACAATTTATGATGGAATTTAAAAATAACTTATTTAGACTAGCACTTTAGTTATTAAACTACATTATTCAGACATTGTCTGTTCGCATCTTTTTAGCTGTACGTACATCAACACAGGAGCTTTGCGGTTCCAGTACTTTGGATAATGTGTGTGTGTTGTTCATGCTTATAAGTAACAGGATTCAATCACATCCAAAACACAACAGAGAAATAAGTATCTGATGCTGGTTTTTCAGGTTTCCCTACTTACAAAGAATAAAGAGCGCTGTAATTTTCTTCGTAGGTACACCTCAACTTAAGACAAAATGTAAAAATAATCCAGAAAATCACTTTGCATGGTTTTTAAATAGTTGACTAGCATTTTATGTAGTGAAATAAGTATTTGATTGCCTAGCAACCAGCAAGAGCTCTGCCTCTCACAGTCCTGTTAGTTCAGCTTTAAGAGTCTCTTCTATCCTCCACTCAGTACCTGTTTGAGATCGTTACCTCACGTATTCCAATGCAATAAAATGTATGATTTTTTTATTTTCTTATGTTTTTTTGGAGGGGAGAATTATTATCTTTTTTTTAGATTTTGTCTCTCACAGTTGAGGTGGACCTGCGGTGAAAATTGCAGACCTCTTCATTCTTTGTAAGTAGGGAAACTCAGCGGTGTATCAAATACTCCCCCACTATATCTACTTATTATTGGAGGTTTCTTACAGAGTCTGGAAAAAAAATATTGAATTTAAAGTATTTTCCTCAATCTCGAATAAATATGAAGAATAAAATGTATTTTTAAACTTCTTTCTTTGCCGTATTTTGTTAGTTGGTGTGTCCGTCTGTCAGCCCATTTCTTTATCCACCTACTGTCAGTCCATCCTTCTTTACTTTATTGTCTATTTATGTAATACCTGACCTCTTTACCAGTATCTGCTGTAACTCTTAGTTAACTCTAGTATTTCTGACTTTTAAAATAGGTCAAAAATAGGCTGAGAGCGCTGGAAAAATCTGCAGTTTAGTCATGAAAAATGCATAGAAAGCCTGAGGTTTGGAGATATACCTGTTGTTTAATTTATCTATTTTATATAAAAAAATTGTCTGTGTGAAACCCTGAACAGTACCGCTATTTTATTTGCAATACAATCCAACTTTTATAGCTTTTTCTATGTTTTAGTTTTGCTCGTTTTTCAGGTGAGACCTAAAAAGTTACTGAAACAACCACAAGAAAAAGGAAACGGTTCAGCCAGGAGAATTTCTGGTGTCACCGATGCCATCATCATGTGTAGGACATTTGATAACTGCCACCTCTATAATTACGTTCCTATAATCCCACTCTGCAGCCTTTTCAAAGATTCCCACTGTCAAGAGGTACTCGGAGTCAAGAGCCGCATTGTTCCATAATGTCAACCAGTTGAAATGTCCTAACTGGTCATTATCTGCCCAGCAATTTATGGCTTTTAAGCCATCAGGAGGTTAAACGGATTCCCTTCTTCAGTGAAATATCCCCCAGATTGGGGGAAAAAAAACCTGTGCTCCTCTCACATAATTAAGGTCACCCTGATGGCTCCTTTGCTATTGCAACAGCTGCTTCAATAAAACCCTTTTTTTTTCTTTCCCTCCATGGTCTTTTTTCCCCATCTTTTCTTTCTCACTCCTGCACTAATCAAACAGGCAGAGCCAGTTGACGAGAGCTCAGTGAAGAAAATGATTCTGACCTTTGAGAAAAGGTCGTACAAAAACCAGGAGCTGAGGATAAAGTTTCCAGACAATCCAGAGAAGTAAGACCATCACTAATGACGCATTTTGGTTCACTTCACAGTCACACACTTTGTTTCTTTGCAAGTTAATGTATAATATGATCCATTTGGACAGAATCAAAAGCGTCTGGCAGCACATTTTCCTTTTGTTTTTGATCAGGTTTATGGAGTCAGAGCTGGACCTGAACGACATCATCCAGGAAATGCATGTAATCGCGACGATGCCGGATCTCTACCACCTGCTGGTGGAGCTTAACGCTGTCCACTCGCTGCTGGGCCTCCTGAGCCATGAAAACACTGATATCCTTCTGAATAGCTATTGAAGAACACATCAGTGTTTATTGTCTTCCTTTCGGGTCGTTAAGCTCCATTGATTTCTGAAGAAACTGATGCAATTTGTCTGTCACAGTTATAGTCCCAGATGTTATCTCTAAGCTTTTTACAAATCAGGATACAATAGCTTTACAGTATTTGTGATTTAATGAAATTTAACACATCACAATTAGGGCTACTGTTATTCATCTATTGACAGATTCTGCAGATTTTTCATGTAAGCACGTAAGCTAATTTTTTACAAAACACATAGAAAAATACAAATGCAATGGCATAGCTTTCCTTTAGTAAATGCTTGGTCATTTGTAGCAAAGGAGGCATCCGCAGCTAAGAAAATGAAACCAGACGAAGCGTAAGAATGGAAGAAGCCATTTAAAAGAATGCTGTATTTTATATGACGTTTTCAGTTTGTTTACGCCAAGAGAGAGCGAGATGGCAGATAACAGGAATACTGAACAAAGTAAAGCAGAGGTGTTCAATTTTATCCTTTTGAGCTTTCAACCAGGTAATATCCCGGATTTAGAAATACTGGCAGCTATTTGGAAAAATCCATATCAGAAAGAAAATACACATTGAGTTCGATGGCTTTTGATTGCCAGTTCACATCGTTGTATAGCCACAACAAGGCAAAGACCCACCCAAAGTCTGATCTCATCTTTATTGCCAGATGGACCACAGAGACAATCCTGACTCCCACCTCATGAACTGTCCCTCACCTCTTGGAGGAGATGATTTTATGGCAGGAAGGAGAACCGATAAGGATTTCAGGAGAAACTTCTAATTCTTCTTTGTCAGTTACTCATGGGTGCAGGTCAAATAAGGGTGCAAACTACATTCCACACGTCAGTCCTTTAAGACAATTGCCAGATTAAGCATTTTACCCAAGACGTCTTCAGGTCTCTTCTGCTATCACAGCTGCAGAAACATCTAAACATTATCTGGAAACATCTTTAAAGGAAAAACGCATCTTACAGAAATACAAAAACACAGCAGATATAATCAGTAAATAAATGGTAAAAAGTATCATCAGTTCCATCAAAAATGAAATGAGACTAAAGACGAAATTTTCTATCACAGTAGTCATAAGATTTCTTATACACTCAAAGCATTTCCAGGACAAACCTGTTTGTGAAACAGAATTTGAGTGAAACAACTCCACTTTTGGTGAAAATCAATACTAGCATACAGTACAGGTGCAAACTCCTCATTCCAGCTGTCATGCAATGAAATAAAGGAGTGATGATTTCAGCTTGTGGTGCTGCCACCAGGCCTGAATACCATGCAGCTGAAGCTAAAGTCATCCATATATGTGACACCGTCCAATCGACGGTGTCACAAAGCCTGGCTGGAATATGATCTTGAAACAGAATAATGACAACAACAAGTGTGTAAAGGCTGTAAAGGGAAAGATTCGAGATGCTGCTGTGGCCCAGTTCAAACCCAAACCAAAGACTAATTAAAATACTGACTGAAAAACCTTCAGACGGTTTGTAGACAAATAACCATGTAGTATAACTAGTGTTGCAAAATGTGTCTAATGGTAGTCTCCAGACATTTTTTCTTTCAGAAATTACTAGGAATCTGAAAATAAGTTGCAGTTGCAGTTTTGTCATTAATGGTTGAAAACATTTAACAAGAGAGACCAAAAAACAAAATAGAAACTGTATCACTAAAGAGGCAGTAACATGTATTTCCAGACCATAAGCATCAAATAAATCTCAGTTCGTAACTGATTATCAGCAAAGAACAAATGTCAACAGCTGATAAACAGAAAAAGTAAACAACAAAAAAGAGTAAAGTAGTATGGAGGCTAAAAGTAGTAAAACATGCTGAGGAACAGGAGCTGTAGCTTAGCAGCCACGTGGAAAATCCTCCGTGTTGTCGTTGAAGACGGAGAATTAAACTTCCTCTTGGCTGCCGTTGTCTCCATGGTCAGCTTCGTCACCACAACGATCCAAAACTTTCCTGCATTTTCTCTAACATGGAGGAAATTTCTTTCATATTTTATTTCTTGGAAATATGCAGCGACCCCAAGACGTTAAATTCAGCAATACTGATTGGCCAAATACTTTTTGTTTTCCCCTAAAAACCACACATGATTGGCTGTTTAGCTATGTCTCAGGAAATCTTTAGTGTAGCGAGGAGAAATGATAGGAGACTGCCTGGGGAAATGTGGAAATAATTCAGATCGCACATCGGCACACAATATTAAGGAAAACTGACATTAATAATACAATTTTGTTTCATATACATAATAATGCTATATATAATTTTTAGAGGATCTTCCTCTCCATATCTCAGAGTGTGGCATCAGTTTTTAACACTTCCAAAGCATTTCATCGTGTCAAGCAGGGATTTAGACCTGATCAATCACTACATTTATTGATTAACCATTTGAATCCTTTTGAAGTTCCACAGATATGAAGCCTACATTGTTTCTCCTATTTGAAGAACAGCTTTAAATGTTCAATGTAATCATTTTTATCCTCCCCATAAATGTAATGATGAAAACGTGTTGTAATAGTCTTTATTTTTCTAAACGTCAACCACATGTTGCCATAGCAGTGGTGGACCTGCTGCAGGAGCTGACGGATATTGACACACTCCATGAGAGTGAGGAGGGAGCCGAAGTCCTCATTGACGCCCTGGTGAGTTCAAAATTGACATCAGTCTTTATTGATCACTCGACTCTCACTGGATCAATACTTAAGTTTCTGTGCTTTGGATCCAAACTAGACAGAGAAAAATTGATGACTTGGTCATTGTTAGTGAATACAAAATAGGACTTCTGTTTTGCTCTCATTGACATTAAAATGTTTTTTTTTTAGTTTAAACTTTTTGGTTGAAGTCTTAAGCTAGTTTTTATTTATAACTTTATGATGCTTTAATAGGGCTCTAGTTTTTTTTCCCCCTTTTTTACAATAAAACAGTATTTTTAGCTTCTCCTGCTTATTTGACTTAAGTCTGTGAACCAAGCAGATACCTACTCAATAGGAGCATCAATATTGTTGATATCCCATTATGTTTTCACACAAAGGTCAGACTGCAATAATGTTCAGTTCTACCTTTTAACGGAGGAAGGAAGTGATGGGTGGTTCTGTAGCTTTTCATCTAATATTGTCTGTCTTGTTTGTTACTGCGGGGACTGACCCCTTATCTCTGCTGGCTCACAGGTCTGAGCTGTGAGGTTGAACACTTTTCTTCTGCAGGTATTCAGTTGGCTCTGAGTTACTGGAGTTTGCACATGCAGATGCAGGTTATTTTCTGACTTCAGTGTCGTCTTCTCTTTTGCAAAGCTTCCTGTAGCACCAGCCCCCTTTCTTTTTTTTTTTTTTTTTTTTTGAATCAGTACATGTCTGTGGTGTGTAACTTTAAAAGAGTCTGTGCTAAACTCTGTGATCCAGAAAGGATCTACATTGAAGATTTATGTGACATTCTCTTTGAAAGCAGCTTTTGTATTCTTGTGACAGTCTAAAAATAAATGCCATTGCCTTTCATGGTGGATGTGAAAATTATATTTTGATTAAAATTTTAACATATGCAGGTTTGGATTCTAAAGCCGGTGTCACTCGGTTTGGTATTTGCCTTGTCTTTGTCTTTTAGTTAATAACTTTTCAGCACCATTTGTCTTTGCATCTGATTTGCATTTGGAATATGATTTCCATCTGGGCAATATTGTTAAAGATTTTATATTTTGCTAATTGGCACCCACCACTGACCAAATGCGGATAAAAGAATGAAGCGGCTTGTAAATTGTCAACCCGCCACTGTGGCGGGTTGACAATTTGAACAGAAGGAAAAAAGCTTCATTCAGTTTGAACTTCTGTCCAAGGAAGGGTAATTCTGTGCGACATGCATATTGTGTACAGTTTAAATTTAAATAGTAATAATTTTGGAAAAGAAATATCCTTTACTGTCATTCCATAAGGAAATTCAGAAGCAGCAACATCAAGATAAAGATAAATAGAAACACTAATCTTAAAAAACAAAAAACAGACTGTACAGCAATTGTACATTTTCTGCACTAAACATATTTTTTGAAGATCACAAAATTATTATTGTAGTTGCTCTAAAGCCTGGTTGTTGTACTTGACATGTGACTGCTGCCTAAATGAGGGCACTCAGTCTATGGGTCATGTCATGTTTTCTGTTGACTTTCTGGTTGCCTATCAGAACCAGCGTTTGGGTTCTAATGCCTTTGGGTTTTTCAATATAGTTTAGTTTTATTTTGTTGGGAATTTTTGTCTAATTCTGTCAGTTTTAATTAGTTTTTTGTGCGTTTTTGCTAGTTTTTATTGGTCATTAGTTTGAGGTTTTATTAGTTACAGTAGTAGTTTTAGTTTTTTCATAATTTGCTTAACGTTTAGGTGATTAATTCCAAAAGGTCAAAGTATTCTATTGTTATTATGTATATATAAATTGGGTAATGAATACTATACAGAAGATAACATTGAGGACAAATTTACTGTTATTGTTTAACAGCCAGGTGACTGGTGTTTTCTCCCAACTTGTGTTGTCGTCATTTTACAGACTAGTGTTAGTGCCACCAGGAGGATTTTAGAGTCCTGACAGCTAGGCCTGTCGCAATAAACGATAAATGAATCGATAACGATAAATTAAACCTATCGACCTCATTTTAATTATCGGCTTTATCATCTCTTTCTGCCTTTTTTTCTTCCTATTGATGACACTGAATGAAAAAAGGCTCAACTCCGGTGCTCTCCACTGACCCTCCCTTCCTCATTTCCTTAGTGTAATGTCCAGCGCACACGGCAGGAGTTGTCGCCGATTGTCGGCCCATTTTCAAAACCTGAGAGACACATTAGCCGACAGAAATCCTAGGTATAACGGTTTTGTTCGTGCTGTGTGGTATCCAGCCACACAGCCATTATTTTGGACTTGTGCAGTGTGAACTATTGCATCAGGTAGTCAGATGTGCCCATCTTCTCTATTTAAATCTAGTGATTACTTAAGGCCAATATAGTATACAGAGTTCATAATCTGCACTCTTTTGGTTGAATGCAATTTCCACTTTGGCTTTATGTTGTTTACTTTTTATTCAAGTACATTTTTTGTTAATGGAGACTGAGAATCCTTTTTATTTTTGTTTTTGGTTGTTTTGTTTATCCAGTTTATCAGTTCCACTGTTATGTGTTCTTTTAAAAATAAAGTGTATCTATCTATGGCAGGAAATACCATGCATTATTATGTCATTTCCATTAAATCAGTGTCAAAAGGTCTTGAAACAATATTATCGTTTATCATAATAATTTATAGACAATCGCTTGGCAAAATTTATCGTGACAGGCCTACTGACAGCTGACTTAATCTGTCTGTGTGGAGGGGACAAAATCAGTTTCACATCAGTTTGAAAGGCTATGAAATACATTCATTAACACAAAAAGAAAGGAAGCTATTTTTCTAATTTCTGTATGTTTTAGTTTGTTTCATAAACAAAATATAAAACAAACTAAACTAACTATACTATAATTTATGGTAGTTATAGTTTTTCCCTAATAATTACAGTTTCTATTTATTTCAGTTAACAAAAATGTTTGCACAATGTCAGTTTTTTTGTTTTCTCTGTGATGAATGTTTTGCTAAGTTAACTAACCTTGATCAAACATAATAACTAATAAGATTTCTAGCTGAAAACATTTTGTGTGACTAAATTGGTTTCTTTCATACTGTTGGGTGAGACAGCAGCTCAGCTTGCTTTGCCAGCCTCTCCAGGTGGAGGTATAATATAAATCCAGTCCATTTACTGCCCAACGGAGCGCCCACAACCTCACTGTTCTTTACAGCTTCTTTGAAGGGATGCCGTTTGAGGGCAGCGAGGTTGGTTGGTTGACTCTATAACCCAATTTGATGTTAGAGTAGACCTAGAGGTTGGTTGGAATCAAACAGTTACCACACCTGATGCAGTCTGACCACATGTCACTGTTTTTGATATCTGAATATACCCCACTGAGGAAATCTGATCATACCACCATAAGAACCATCACAAGCTGGCCACTCTGCAGCTGAAGGATTGTTTTGAAAAAGCAAACTGGGACATTTTTGAACATACAGACCTGGAATTATTCACTGCATTCTTTGACAGCATTCTTTGTTGCATCAGAACCTGCACTGACAATGTTAGAGTAGCAGGGTACCTGTTACTCCATTTCTTTGCTAAGTTCGAGTTGGAGCCTCCAATGGCAGCTGCCCCGAATGAAGCAGTGCAACCAAGTACCTCTATCCTCAAGGTGGAGGAGGGTTAGGGTTAGAGTGGCTCTCACGCCGTTGGTGATGAAATGTTTTAAAAGACTGGTTCAGAGTCACATTTTGACATTCATTCCTCGCACCAGTTTGCTTATACAGCTAACAGGTCAACTGAAGATACTGTCTTGCCCCCCTGGAGCACCGAGATAGCTACGCACGCATCCTCTATTGATTTCAGCTCCACTTTCAATGCCATCCTCTCTGACAGATTAGTGTGTAAACTGGCAGACCTGGGAATCCCCTCTTCCACCTGTAGTTGGATTAAGGACTTCCTGATGGATCGATAACAAAGAGTCAGCCATCAACATCAGTACTGGCTCTCCTCAAGGCTGTGTGCTGAGCCCTCTGCTCTTCACGCTGTACACATATGCTGTGTTTCAGTTCATCAAACTACCACCCTTGTTAAATTTGCAGACGACACAACTGTAGTGAGCCTATAGTGGGATTAGTCTGCCTACAGGAATGGTGCACAGAAAACAACCTAATCCTAAACACAGCCAAGACCAAGGAGATCATAGTGGATTTTTGGAAAAGTAAAACAAACATTCAACCGCTAAACATCTGCGGAGATCCAGTGGACAGGGTGTCAAACGTCCGTTTCCTGGGAGTTCATATCATGGATAACCTGCTCTGGGATGTAGACACAGCAGAACTGGTAAAGAAAGCGCAGCAGAGACTCTATTTCCTGAGAGTCCTCAGGAGGAACAATATTTCTCAAAAACTGCTGGTGTCCTTCTATCCATGCTCTATTGAAAGTATCATCTGCTATTTTCTCTGTGTGTGGTTCCCCAGCTGCACAGCAGCACAGAGGAAGACTCTCCAGAGAATGTTAAAATCTGCCCCGAAGACCGTCAACTGTTCTCTGCCTTCTCTTGAAGAAGGCAGAGTTTTACCATACGAGTCTTTTATTTTAAATTAAGGGGCATCCAGGAAAATTCATAAATAATTTTGAAATTACAGTCATACAAAATGACTAATTAACAAAATAAAATCAATTCAGAATATTCTTAACTACATTTACACTTTGTTCTATACAGACGACTTGATTTTTCTTTGTAAAAGAGAACCTGATTAAATTTCACATTTAGTTTTTTTTTTTATTTTAACATAAAATTAATTAACATAGCAGCCTACGTAATTAAAAACTGAAGTGTAACAAAGGAACAGACACTCGAGCAGATTGGTATTTAACCTGTTGGTCTCAGGTTGTCATTCACAATGACAGGGGTGTCAAACTCCAGTCCTCAAGGGCTGCTGTCCTGCAGTGTTTAGATGTGCCACAGGCTGAGCCTTGCTAATGACCTAATTATTCTTTTCAGGTGTGGTGCAGCAGAGGCACATCTAAAAGTTGCAGGACAGAGGCCCTTGAGGACTGGAGTTTGACACCCCTGTCACGAGAGGACCCAAATTTGGGTCCTCTCGTGACAGACAGGTTAAGCAGAATTTAACAGTGTGAATGCCATGCTTTGTATTTTAAAAAGAGGACTGATAAACACTCCAAATATCGTAAATTGGAGCAGCAATTCAGTTACTGAGGTGCTAAACTAGAGTTTAACCCAATCCAACCCAACTAATTGGCTCTAACTATAGGCCTCGAGCCCGAGTTTAACACAGTATATTATTTTATTTGCGATTTTAGTGCTTTCATTTTTTGACCACCGTTCAAGTAAGCGGTGCAACTTCTGTTTTAAGCTTTTTAGCGTCTTCGAGCTTCATCTTGTTGTTATGGAGCTTGTTGTAATGGCAGAGTGAGAAAAGGTCAAATCATCTGGAATGTGTGATTGATGGGAGCGGAGCAGCGTGTACATGCAGTGCACTGTGCTTGCTACAGCCTGATTCACTTCTGTACCCTACCTTCTATCTTTATTTCTTTATTTCTTCAACAGGTTAAACGTGTAATGACTCACTAGGGACTTGGAAAATCAGCCACGACACAGGAGTGAGCAGAAAACTTGGATATTTATTAAAAGACAGCTCAGACCGGGCACACTGGATCGTCAGCTGCAGCACTGCCAAGGGGGGCAGAGAGGAGAGATTGGTGACTGGAGAAATAGCAACAAAGGGATCTGTTGGTGTGTAGGAAAGGAACACTAACCTGGCTTGGCGATCAGGTACTGGAGTGATCAGCCAAGGGACAAGGAGATGCTGCACTGATGCAGGGCTCAGGAGGAAGTGCCCGGTGTTCGTTATTGCGCAATAGCCAGCCCCACCCTTATCTCACCTCCGACTGACTACTGACCAGTTCTCTGTCTAACAGGTCCGGAAAATCCCTGAAACCCGGGTCTTACCCTAGAAATAGGTTTATATGTGATATTCTGTTTAAACTGGCGGCGGAGAAAACTCGTCTAGCTCTAACTACCTTCAATTCCAGAAGTTATGACCCTTTTCAGTTGAGAAGCAGTCAACAGAGTAGCCCCCACTGCTGCATAGTTTCAACAACCACTCCTGTTAATGGTAGCTTTTCCCCTTAAAATAACATGCACTTGTTACCGGCTAGATTAGATTTAGTGACTTAGACCTAAGTCCCAGGGTCATTATTTTTACACTCACCAAAGGAAAGTACGAAGCCACCACATCTCTAGGATCATGTACGCTAATTTTACTATAATCAGGGGAATCTACAATGATCAAATGACTCAATTAATCTCGATGTCCACAAGTTTCATTGGAATTTTTAGTATGTAATTTATTAAGCAAGCTTTAGCAGGGATAAATGACAAGCAGATTAACTTTCAGAGATTACAAATTCGCAATAAGAAATTAAATTCAAATTAAAATCAATCATAACCTATTTTCCTTTCTATCCCTATCCTGTGTCACTAGTTTAATTAAGCCAGGCTTTTGGGGGGCAGTTCAACTCACACCCAGATGGCAATTGATCTCGGCAGCAGAATTCTTCAGATGTCCTTGGTCAGAGTCTTTGTCATGACGTGGCAAAGTCCTCTTTCAGAATAGAAGCAAAGCAGAACTGTCCGTTGTCCTTCAAACACACAGAATCTTCGTCTTTTCTCCAAGTCTGCTGCAGTAGGGTAGGGATCGTTGGGTTGAGGCAGAGGGGTTGGTCTAAGCAGGAATCAGGGCTGGGGGCAAATGGATCTCGTCCCTACTTAGTGGCGCGAAGTCTCAGCTTCCCCTTGGTTCCAGGGCGTGGTCCTCTGCTGGTCTTCAATCTGCATCCTCTTGTTGGCTCCTTCAGTGCCGCGGACAAAGAACAGTTTCTTCCCTTGTCTGCTGGCTTTTATACTCTCTCAGCCCATGGTTGCGTATGGGAGAGGTTTACGTAACTTCTGGAACATTCTGATGAGTCTGTGGAAAGCCCCAACCTTTCCCAACCATCATCTCTTTCGTGACTCATTGCAGCAACTCCGTTTGGTACTTCCCTTTTTCCGCTGGCCATCTGGTAACTTACTTCCTTTTTGAGCCTCCCAAGCGCCCCCGCCCAATTGTGACACAGTCCGAGAACAAGAACCTGCCTTCATTTCTCACGATCTCAAATCTTCAGTCATCACATTTCTTTAATACATTATAAAACATAATTCTACAGTTATAAAACATAAACTATTTGTCATTGTATCAACTTATAACTCTCAGTATGATTCTGTAACTCAAGCTGTTACTGTCTCTAATCATCACTAATCATCATACACTACTTCAATAATCATCACACAACAATCAAAGTGTTACTGTCATTCAGATCACGAATACAGAATACACATTTCAAATGTACATTACAGATTATTCCAACCATTACATATGTATGTATTTTCATTCATCTTTTAATCATCATTAAATCAATATGCAAGATTACTGTTATTTCTCCGGCCTTTATGCTCCGTTTTCTGCGTGTACCTGGAGAGATCTCACCACTTTATGCCAGTTTTCACGACATCGGGGAGGGGAAGCGCTGATGCAGGGCAGGGCACTAACTCTGTGAAGCAGCAGAAGTACCAAATCCTGGTCAGACGGCCCGAGGTCATGCACAATGGGGCTGAGAGCAGAATCCATGGGAGTGGGCGAGCGCGGTCTAACCAAAACAGGCGTGGGTCGAGATCCAGATGGGCGATCAGCAACAGTCCCACAAGGGCAAGGCAAAAGGGGCAAATCCGGGGAACAAGAGCATGGTTGCAATGATGAGGGCGAGATAGAAGTGCTGGAAAACCACTTGCTGAAAGCGTTCGATAATCTGGTAGCGTGGTTGTGACTGAGAGAGGCTTAAGAAGGGAAACAATCAGGGAGCGACACAGGTGCAAGGAATAACGGAAATGAGGAACATGACATGGATCAGCTCAAAACAAAAACACAGAACCATGTGAACATCACAAAACGATCTAGTCCTCTATTTACACTATGATAAGTAGATTGACACAACTTTATATTGTGCATTCTGTTTTGATTTTCTTGGTGCTAAAAACAGCCTTATCATACACACAGAGGCCTGAACCCGACCCGGGCTATAAATCTAAACTCTAAGCTGAACCTCCATTAAAGCCTGACCTGTCACTTTCACACCATTCCCTCAAATACAAACAACCTGAACCTTTGTATTCACATGCAACTAGAAATGTATTTTTTTTTTTTTATTAGATCTGTAAAACTCTTGGAAGAGTTGCCGTAACTTCTTAAACTAGAGATGTTCTCAAAATAACACTTCTGTTTCAGACGTAAGTTATGAACGTGATAAGCTCCATCAGCCATTGAGCATACGGGCATGGTCTTTCCATCCGAGCAGAATATGTTGCTATCGCAATAGCAGCATTCATGAAACTTTTCTAGACTATACCTGGTTACATCTACACAGAAATAAGATTGTGGTTTATGACATGTAAAAATTACATCTGCAAAATCTGTATTTTGATTTTTGTATTTCTTTTCTGCTGCATTGCTGTTTTGCTGTAAAAAAAAGTCTTAACTTTTTGTATGCAGCTGGAGGGTCAGGTGGTGGCCCTGCTGGTGCAGAATATGGAGCGGCTTGATGAACAAGTGAAAGAAGAGGCTGATGGCATCTACAACACGCTTGGTAAGAAAATGTTCCTCCACTGTAAACAAGCAACTTTTGTCATCTTATACTGTAGCAACAAATGTAGAAAGTGCTGCAATTCTCAACTCATTGTCTCCAGAGAGCAATTATTTCAGCAGCAGGTCATCAGAAACAATCAGAAAAGCTACAAACATTTTTGAACATATTGTGTTGTGTTCAGAACCTTAGAGTTTTGCACTACATTGTCAATATAAAGATACAGAAAGTCCAACAAATACAGAAAACAAACCAAAAACATCCTTAATTAAAAAGAGTTAAGACAATGAGTTAATAAGGATTTAATAAGTTATTTAAATATAGTTTAACAATACCATGTTCCACCTTTATGTTTCTACCAATGTTTATGTCCGGGTGTGACTTGTACAGTGGTAGAGTGGTTGTCTTGCAATTGAAAGGTTGTAGGTTTGATTCCAGCTTCCTCCTGCCACATGTTGATCACTCCTTGGGCAAATTTCAGGCAATTATTATCTAAAATGGCAAAAAAAAAAGAGAAGGGAAAAAAACTGAAATTACAATGAAAACCTTGAGAAATAATTCTGGAGGAAATTTCTGAGGTTTTCAGAGGCAGGACATGCTTGATTTGGGACATGAGACTTTGGTGGGCTATCTATTTTCTTGGATTATATTAAGTGGATCCTGTATATATATGTTTGTATTTGTGAATGTGAATGGGTGAATGTCTATACTGTAAAGCGCTTTGCTTGGTCAGTGTGACTTCAGTGGCACTTTATAGAATATGTCCAAATTACTGACTAAATTCAAAACATTTTATTACATAAAGAATTTCTTAGCAACAGCAGCTTCGATGCAGGACTAATGGGTTAGGCTTAGCTTGGAAACTGTCTAACTCAATCCATTACTGTATCTGTTTTTACCAGGGACATTGCATTATGTTGGTTTACTGTTTTTCTATATTATATAAAGTTTTATTTGCAGCACCATTTCAGATTTAGTTTCCTTTTTTCATATTTACAGTTCTGAAAAGAATGCACCTTTTTTCTTTCACCTATGGGTTCCTATTGAGGTCCATCATATCATTCAGATTGGCTCTTATTTATCAGATGCGACTCTGCCAAAATGAACATGAGTGTGGGATATGATGAAGTCCTGTAGTCTCTGTGTACCCAAGTTTATGTCAGTGTGGAACTCCAGCTCAGTGACGTGCGGTCAGGGGAGGCAGAGCCTCACCTGTCCACATGGAAAAATAATATTAAAATAATTTATATTGCTATATATTGCCCTGTGGTTTGTACTATAAAGTACCTATTTTTTACTTAGCTTAACCAATTCTGATGATTTTTTCTTCAAAATCGCTGGATTTTCGCATTTTCCCATTCAAATGCTCAGAAGCGAAGCCGGTGAGGCAGCAGCGAGCTGAGCCTCACCTGGGATTGCGCAACCTCTCGCGAACTGCACTGGCTGCCATTCTATGGGAGCATGTTCGTCCTGTCTGTACGCCAGCAATAAAATGGCTAATAAACATTTAATATATGGACTGATTTTCCATAATTTAACTTATGTATATAATGTACAGTGTTTTTCTGTCACCAACTGTGTGTGTATCGTGTTTTGTGTGAGGAGGAGCGATCAGAAACGGCAGAAAACAGACTCCAGGGGAGGCAGGCAGTTCTCTTGCCTTATGGCAGGGGGCGCTCATGATCCCAGATATTAGTGACTCCACAACTGCAGAGTAAGACACAGTGAGCTAGCCATGGAGCTAGCATGGAGCTAGCCACACAGTAAATAAGTAAAATACAGCGATATATTTGTTTTCTTCCCTCTTCCGACGTCAACATGAAAAACTACATTTCTACAGTTAAACAGTTTTCTAAAGTGGATTTTCAGTTGAACCAGGAGATAATAACTAAAGGAAGACCAACACCGGAGCTGAAAGTTTTGCTTCGAGACAGTTTGACGATTCTCAAACGGAGTAGAAAAGACATGCCGAGGATAGACTGGGCTTTGGATGAACGGATATTTTTGTGCAGAATCAGCGGTGCATGGATTTCATTGATACATAAAGGTAAGACAGCAATAAGATGTTTTTGTTTAGTTTTTTAATGAAATGTGCGTTTTGTGGGCTACAGTTTGTATGTCTAAATAATTCAGTAAAGTAGAAGCGGTAGCTAATCTACCACAGCAATTATTTATTAATAAAACATTAAGCCTAAAACGTACTACAACAACAGACTGAATGTTCTGTTCTGTGTGCAAAATTCTTGAATGTTTTTTGGTGTTATATCCTAAAACATGAAGTGGCATTGTTGTCAGTTGCTATGGCAACGAGTCTGCGTAGCTTGACGAATACAGATCACTTTGCTGTGGATCATACCACGAAATCATTACCTACATTTCTAAGTTTCACTGAGTTAACGCGGCTATGGATGACATGTAAATGATTAGTCTTTTTGCCCCCTCAGCGTTGCTTGCCTGCGCGAAATTTCCGTACGTCCAATAACATGCATGGTGTCTATATAGTGTAAGTCAGTGCCTCACTAGCAATGAACCTCACCGCACGTCACTGCTCCAGCTTTACCTGAGATTTATTATCCCATACTAGTGTAAAATACTGCTTAACATCTCAGGAACATGTTTA